ATATTTCTTTGAGTATAGCTTCTACTGAATATTTTATGTTGCCTATTTTGTCTTCTTTCTGTTTTCATTTCTTTACAATAAATTATTCTAAGTTATGAAGGGATCCCTGAATGATTGTGTCCCAAGGTTACCACCCACAATTCTTCCAAAAGTGAGCAAGAAAAAAAAAATATATATATATATATATAACTGTCATAAACTGTGAAAACAATAGTAGATTAAATAATTAACAAGCTTCAAAAGACACTCTGAGATTCCCTGCCAAAATGTGCAGCATCAACCATGACACTACAGAATTTATAAAAGTTCAGTGAACTTAGTAACTAAAGTAAAAAAAAATACATACGTGTTTTTGGTGCCCTCCTTCATGGGTAGTAGAAAAGCCAGACAAAAGGATCTAAATGTATATCTTTAGGGGAAACTGAAAGTTTATAGGCAAGAAGAAAGTACTGTTAAAATTTGTACTGGGGGTTGCAGATAAAGCTTTTTCCTCTGGATTTCTTAATTTCAGTACCTATCTGTGCTTTTACATTATGTATGTCAGCCATGACTATGTTAACCTCAAATTCTCTATATAATGACATTCACTTGGCTTACTTAAAGTGAAAATTATTGCACACATTATAATGAAACCTTTGCCATTATCCATTCCACTTGTCCATATTAACTGTTGATAAATTCTGACTGTGTATTTTTCTGTGGTTAATTACTGTATCAAAATGCATAATATCATAAGGACAAATTTCTTAGCAAATCTGTGAAAGGAATACATAAGTATTCAGCATCTGTCATTGTGATGGAACTTTCCAAAAGCCATGGGGTCTAAGCAAATGCTTTCAAGAATGAATTACAGACCTATTTAATAACTAAGAGCAGTAAAATCTAAATGGACTTTTAGCTGATGAATGTTTCTCAGTAACTATTATATGATTTACTTTCTTTTACTATTCTTACATAGGTGCTTTCTTTTTTTGAAAGGGAAAGGTTAATTTTCAGTTACTTGTAAGTGCAGATTCAATAGCCAAATTCCCAAATAGCATACACGTCTCACCTGAAATGTGCAGCCTTAAAACCAAGTGGTGATAAAGCATATTCTAGCATTAAGAGGGAGTTTATACTGCAAAAATGACATCACTTGTTGACTGACAGTGGGAGGAATAAGCACATAAAATAGTGTCAATTTCTGAGTATTTACTGTATATCTCTTATGGTCTATTGAGTAGCCAGGCACTGGCTTTCCCAACATTAACACCAAGGGCTTTTCATTATCATCATCTTAATAGTTGTTACCAAGAGAAAGTATTGAAGGGCATTATTTTCAAGAAGGGATCATTTTTTTAGCTCCACTTTAGTTGCAATTCAGGCACAAAAGCCACCTCCATAGCAGCTTAGCAGTCTTTATTAGATTTTAGTATTTTGTTTTTATTGCTGTTATTTTTGGGGGTGGGTGGGAACTGGGGATCGAACTCAGGACCTTGTACTTGTGAATCAGGTGCAATGCCAATGAGCTAATTCCTGGCCCCACCAGTATTTATTAAAATATGCTCCTTTGAGTTGATGGTGGTCATTGACAAACATGAATAGGATCACAGGAGACAAGATTTCAAGCATCCAACTTTCTTGTTAAGCATTCATTGTCTATTTTTTGTCTCAAGCATACAGATTCAAAAGTTTCATTAAAAATGAAAACAAAAACCCCTAGAAGGTACTCTTGCCAAAAAAGAAACAAAGCAAAGTCAAGAAAAGTATATGTAACAGAGATTTTTTAAGGGAGTTAATTGGTCTGTGTAATATTATAATGGTTGAAATGTTTCATTATATATTAGTCTAAACCCACCACATACATAACACCAAGAGTGAGCTTCGTGTAAATGATGGTTACCCAGGGATAATGGTGCGTCCATGTGAGCACGTCAGGGGTAACACAGATCATAATGAGGGAGGCAATGCATGTGGCCAGCCAGGGGTCTGTGGAAACTTCAATACTTGCTGCTCAACTTTGCTGTGAAACTTCAATTGCTTTTAAAAAAATAGTCTGTTGAAAGAAAAATAAAACCCTTTTTTGTAAAACCACTGATCTAGTCTAAGGAATATGGGCTCTCTGATAGCATAAATGTCTTGCGTCAGGTCACTAGACTCACAATGTATCATAAAAACGTTTGGGATTGTGATTTTAAGAGAGTAAATATTTAAAATGAATTTCCTGGGATTGTGATTTTAATAGTGTTTCAAGACACGATCAGATTTTTACAAGATGGCAAAAGCAATGATCTTTTGGCTGTGTGAAATATTTCTAAATCTAACATAAAATGTAAGCAGAGGAAGTGAGGCTCCTGATCCTGTATGTTTTCCCTATACCGCATTGCTACTCAAGCAATCATGTCATAAGGTTGAAACTGAACTTTCAGGATATTCTATTTAAGTTAAAAATACATTATAGGAAATAAAAATTGATAAATATGAGCACACGTACAGTTGCTGAGGCAAATAGAACAGGCCGTGGGTGATGGCTGGTAGAATAATAGAAGGAATAGTTCAATGTGAAAAGGGCAAAGGCTTCAGGAAAGATGTTAGAGAATGGAGAACACCAAGAATAACCTGGAAAATGGAGCTTGCACAAATGCATACACACGCACACATGCGTGCACACACACACACACACTCACTATGGTGGAGGTCCTGAAGACATTTGTAACTCAAACAAATAAACAGAAATGGCTTGTAACTTAGCTTGTAACCAATAGATTGAAAAATAAAACCCAAATACTTCTAGACTTATAATTCAACAAGTACATTTCGCTAAGTGATAGTTGCAAGTTTTAGTAATTGCCTACATTACCATACTAGAAAATGCCCCATGAATAAATAGGAACTCTTTCTAAAGCATGGAAGAGTTGAATTTGTAGAACAAAATGACAATAAGTGTTTAATAAATGACATTTTATTTCTTTCCTTGACAAATAAGAGACCCAGGTGCTAGCTAAAGCAAATCAACCATTGAGGACAAGTAACAGATAATTAGTTTTTCTATATATTTTTAAACCTTCGATAGATATTCATTAAATTATTATACTTTAATTTCATGGACCAGTTTCTCATGACTTGCTACAATTTAAAGGCCATTCATTTTATTATTGGGAAATGGTGAATTTCCTGGTATTGTGATTTAAAAATTGTTTCAGGACACAATCACATTTTACAAGGTAGTGATAAAAATGTTATTTTTGTTGTGTGAAATATTTCTGGAATTCACAGAAAACATTGCACACAGGAAGGCAGCCCATTTCCATCTGCTATTCCTGTGATTAAAGTTAGTATCATTCAATTTAATAAACACTTTCGAGGAGACATATGATAGTGCTCAGCAGCTTGTGCTTCGGATATTTTAGGAAGAATGCACACGCGCACACACACACACACACACACACACACACACACAAATGCAAGGAGTAGGACTGCATTTACATAGCCTGAACGCCATGGAGGGGAAGTTTGGGACTGATGGGAGACTACACCATGAGTAGTATGTAATGAGCAGCCCCAGGAGGAAAGGCCTCAAACTGAGATTTTAATAACGAGAACCACAGATTCTGACAGATAGGGAGAAAGAGTCAGTGCTGGGCATGGAAATTCCTATGAGCAAATTCAAACGACTTTAGGATGAGTAAAGGCAGGGGAAGATAGGCAATTTAGTCTGACTATCATTGAAAGCCTGGCTCTGGTGGGGGTGAATGATTTGGGAAATGGGGATGTGAGTCTGCATTCTTGGAGCAAGAAGGAAAATGTGTTGAAATAGTTAATTCTGTTGAAAACAAGTTTTTCTTGGAACTAGCAGATTTTTCTATCTGCAGTCACACATAGTGGAGGGACGGGGTTGGGGTGTAACTAGGATGTTACAGAATGCTGGAACACCTTTTGTAAAAGATAAGCATAGTTTACTTGAATGACCATGAAGCTACTCAGAAACTGACATTTTGGTCTTGTGTTCATGGGAACAGTAAATAGACCTAGTCCTGGGCAAACCAGATTACATTACCTTCATGTTCTTTCTTTAGGAACATCAGAAAATTCCAAGTTCTTTACCTGGGTTTTCTACTCCTCCATCATCTGACCCTGCTGACACCTCCACACCTCACCTTTCATATTTTCACTTGATTATTTTATGCTCATTTTAAAGGTATGGCTTGGGATTTGACTACTCCAGGAATCCATTTATGATTATCCCTCATTTCCAGTGTCCATCCTTCCTAATCTCTTGATAATCTGTAGATCCTTCCATCATTGCATTTACTGCATTACTGCATATCATTCATTGACACAGAATGCTCACCGTGGCACTAAACTGGTTTTGCATATTGTGCTGTCTTCAATTCTAACACAGGGTTTCCATACATGCAATATTGAAAATATAAATGAGCTGAGTAGGACACAATCCATGAATAGGCTTAAGTGCCTTAGGCAAATTATTTTTGTATGGTGGAATTGTCTCATATAGTTGATTATTTTAAAAACTCTAAATCTTTCATTAATTTTTGGAATTATGTTAGGTCAATTTATTTTTATAAGAGTTAATATAATATTATTTGGTTATGTTGTTTCCCTATTTTATATTTAGGTAAGCAATTTGTGGAATCTTTTAGAAAATTAGCTTTTAGGGGCTGGGGATGTAGCTCAGCAGCACAGTGTCTGCCTGGCAACTGTGAGGCCCTGAGTTTGATTCCCAATACCAAAAGAAGAGAAAATGAGCTTTTAGATGTACAGTATATGATAGATACTTACAGAACTATTTATCAAGTACCTTTTTTCTGGAGACTGCCCCTTTGACCTCCAGTTCATTTACTTATTTTGGCATTAAGTTAGTTACAGTGGGAGCCCATCTTCTACCTAAAGTTGACTAATAAATGCTACAGATAACTAGAGCTAGGGTGATCAATAATTCCCTCCCTAGGAACTTTGGAACTAAACAAGGTTGGCAGTCTCTTTTGGAAAGTGTGCAGTACTTGCAGAAATTATTGGCAGCTAGGTTTCCTTCCGTGAGGACCAACGAAGCACACAAGATTCTTTCACAAGGTAAGACTAACCCTGACCAATGGAGAGAAAAGAGAGAATATGGAAACAGAGTCCTAAATATGCTTAATTGTGTGCTTGATGGTTCTTCAGGCTCAGCCATATTCTTATTCTGAGGTTTCATGAATGACCTAAGTATCATTATAATAAATCTGTACTTCTACTTAAGTCAGTCTAAGTCAGACCTCTGTCACTTGCAGCAAGGATCTAAAATAATACGATATACAAGACAAGGTCAAAGTCTCTCTTCAAATTATGCTTTTCAATTATTTTTCCGATACATGACACATTTTCTTAAAATATTTCAGTTGGGTAATTGCAAACTTAATTCTATCAACTAATTAGTGGAAAAGCAAAGTCTGTGAAAAACACCATTCCTACACTGCATGTGTAAAGAAGGAAATTAGAGGCAATTTAGAATTGTAGAAGCATAGAATAGATGAAGTCAAATCCTTAAATTTAATGTTCTCTGTCTTTTGTTCTGGAAACTTGTTTGAAATGCTAGTCCCTCAGTGGGAACTAACATCAAAGGAAGAAGATATTTGTTCTCCAATTTAAGGCAAAATATATTTGGAGATTTTGGTCAAATTTTGTGTTTTCATAATTTGGACTAGGATTTTTCTACTATCTCTTCATTTCATTTGGATGATGATTAGAGAGTTTTGTAAAGTCTAATTCCAGTAATAATCATTTATCTCTGCCACTGGAGAGTACTTCCCTCCTCAAATGCACTGCACAAACATTTCTTGATTAAACCTTCCAACAATTCTTGGAAGGAAATTGGGTGATATTTTCCGTGACTGCATGGTCTCTGAGGAGAGCATCTACTGGGATAAACCAATTATGAGGACAGTAAGTCTATCTATCAGCAAAAGGATAGAAATCACAACATCCGGAAAGTCTGACTGCTCTGTTCACCAAACAGGACGTACAGCCAAATGAACATTTAGCTAATTCCCTAATGATGAAAGTCTGGCTATGATTACACAATGGTAGCTACAGAGTTATATAAGGGTATCCAATACTTTTTAAGAACTGTTCGTGATTAAGTGGACAAATATTTTTAATTTAATAAAGACAGTGATTTATAAAAACTATTCTTTCAGTTGCAGCCAGCTGCCAGTTAACCTTATACAAGGAAAGGGAGAGGGAGAGGGGAAGAGAGACAGAGAGACAGAGAGACAGAGAGATAGAGAGACAGAGAGACAGAGAGAGAGAGAGAGAGAGAGAGAGAGAGAGAGAGAGAAGATGCATGTGAGAACTATCAGTGTCACATTCTATTTATGGATGAATATCTGTCAACCTACGTTGAGTGATAATGGCAAATATAAGTTCCATTATTTCAAAGATAACATATTAATTGCATACATTATTTGTTTTGTACTGCTGGTTAGTATTATTTTTTATTTTTATATCTATTTTAAGGTCATATGTGTAAGGACTGTAGTGCAACATATATTTAACATTATGCAAAATCAAGAAATATTTTCTAAGTATATGTCATTCTACACACAATTACACATATATGATATTGAGAATAACTTAATAGCATCATTTTTTTTTTGGTACCAGGGATTCGAACTTGGGTCCTTGCATCTATGCAGCAGGCGGCAAAACCACTGATCTAAATCCACAGACTATTACCATCATTGTTTAATGAAAAGAAGACTGTGTCATACTTACTAGCACATCTAACTGTTCAAATTTTGTGAAAATTTTCAACTTCTGTATTGTATTAGGTTATGGAAACATCACATGAACCATTAGGAATAAAAAAGAAAAAGAAGGAAAGGAGACAAATGCCCTAATAAAAAGAAATAAGGCTCCAGCTAACAAAATAGGTAAAATGACTTATGCAGTGATTTTTCAGATACATGAAAATTACTATTGCTGAGAAAAACAGTGATTAGAAATTAAGAACTCACTAACAGGATGATAGTTTTAGTTACTATGTTTCAGATATTTGAGGCTAGAATAAGTAAAAAAAAAAAAAAAAAAAAAAAACCTCACAAATATTTGAAATAAAAGACTTTAATGGGGTTAGAAAAAATACCATAAGTCACCACCCTAGTCTGTACTGCAGAGGTGAGTATGGAGCAGTCTTAGGAGATCTCTAAGTGTTATGCTATGCCTCCATCAAAACATGGCTTGGAAAGCCTGAGAACCTGCCCAGTTCCGTACCCTTGTTGAGGAAGGGTGTCTACCACATCTGAACATCTCCAGCTAAGTTCAATTTACTAAATAAATCCTTGGAAGGTGTGGATTTGAGCCCTGTGTTAGAAGTGGTGGACAAACTTGAAATCTGGATAATCTGTTGCTTATTTATATATTCACATTTGTTCATATCACATGGAACTATTAATTGCTAACAGCAAAACTGCTGGTTTGGAGGTAATGTGTCCCTAGACATAGATATTCTGAAGGGTTGGTCTCCAAGTGACAGTGCTGAGGTAGTCAGGGGTGTCATCTAGTGGGAGGTTATCCGGTCATAATTAGCTTTGAGAGAGATTAATGCTTTCTTTGGGAGTGGGCTAGGTCTCTAAGAGGGTAGGTGGTCATAAAAAGAGTAAGCCCAGCCCCTCTAAGTCTCTTGGTTCTCATATCCCCATGTCACCTTTTTCATCCTTCTGGGTTTGCGGCTCACCCCTGGCTCTCGCATGCATGACCACTACTGTGATCATTTTCAAGAGAGGTCAAGCAGACCTCCCAAACTCTTGCCATGGTGGTGCCATCACAAGAGCTGTGCAGATGCAGTCACCATCCACTTGAGTGCACAAAACTATGAGCTACATCAACTGATTTATCAAGAACTCAGTCTCAGGTATTTTCCTCTAGAGACAAAAAGGAGCTAAAGATAGAAACTCAGGATGCAGGCACATAGTTGTTATCAGGCTATATTTTAGATTGAATAAATAAGGAATAAGGTATTAATAAATGCAAGCCAGCTGGTTGCTTTACTACCTTCTGGCCACCATAAACTGTTTCTCCTCTGCCAAGCTACCCTGCCTTGGAACCAGCTGATTATGGACTGAAACCTCTACAAACTACCCCTGCCAGCACACAGGTGGTGAGCCACTCCCAGCACACAAGAGGAAGCTTCCAGGCAGCCATACTACCCCTGCCAGCACACAGGAAGTGAGCCATGTGGGTGCCATCAGCAACCCCCCCCCCCATCAAAATGAGAAGACACATAAAGAAGTCTCAAAACCAGACTTCCAGATCACCTACAGTAACCTCAGAGGGAAATGAGATGGAACACTGTGATACTCGACCACCTGGACTCCTTGAACTGGCAACAAAAGAGGATCTGGAAATAATGAAATCAGAAATAATTTCTCAGATAACAGCAGAGATTGTGCCCATAGTGCAAGACATGATTAATAAATCTAGAGAGGAGCTCAGGAACATGATGGAATCCCAACAAAGGAAACAAATGGAATCCGTAGAACAGATGCAAATAGATTTCCAGGAGATTAAAAACTCCATTGAAAGTCTACACATCAGAATGAGCCAATGTGAGGACAGAATTTCAGATATAGAACATAAGATTGCAATTAGTGATCAGGAAAAGAAAAATTGCTTTAAAATTGTAAGGGACCATGAGAAATCAATCTAGCAGCTGCTAGATGATGCAAAGAAGAAAAACATAAGCCTGATTGGAGTCAATGAAGAAAGAGGAGAGAGTGCAGATGACATAAAAAGACTGTTCACAGAAATGATGGCAGAAAACTTCTCAAGGAGGGGAAAAGAACTTAACATACAGATAAGTGAGACATACAGGACTCCAACTACCCTTGATAAAAAAAATTCTATACATAGGCATATAATTGTTAAGATTCCAAAAACACAACAGTAGAACAAAACTCTACAAGCAGTTAGAGAAAAGAAACAAATCACATACAAAGGAAAGCCCATCAGAAGCACAGCAGACTTCTCAACACAAACCATCAAGGCAAGAAGAGCTTGGAGTGATGTATTTCAAGCCCTAAAGGAAAACAGCCTCCAACCCAGATTGATGTACCCTGCAAAATTATCTTTCAAAATTGATGGAGAAATAAGATACTGTCATGACAAAGAGCACCTTAGGAACTTCATGAATAACAAACCAGAACTCCAAAACATTTTAGACAATATCCTAGGAAAAGACAACGAGGATCACAACCCCAGGAAGCCCAGCAGAATGAATCCATCTGACGCAACAGACAAGAAATTAATCGCAAAAGGGGAAAATCCAACAAAAGAAAAAGTCATGACAATGATAAATCAGTATGTATGAGTTATAACCATCAATGTTAATGGTCTAAATTCACCAATCAAAAGAAATAGACTGGCAGAATGGATCAAGAAGCAAGATCCAACAATATGCTGCATACAAGAAACACACTTAATTCAAAAGGAAACTCATAGACTGAAAGTTAAAGGGTGGAAAACAATACTCCATGTGACAGGAACCCGAAAAAAAAAAAGCAGGAGTAGCTATCCTCTTTGCAGATCAAGTGGCTTTCAAACGAAAATCTGAAACACTCCGGTCTCAAGAAGTTCAGATAAGGGATACTCAACTTGTATATACAAATCTATTGTGAACACGTGTGTTCATTCCTCTCAAGTAAAAACTTAAGAATAGGACTGTTGGTTCTTAACAGTAATACAAAAAATTTGTATATTGTTTTCCAAAATGGTTTTATCATTTTACATTCACATTAGCAGCATTAGAAAGTTCTAACTGGTTCACACCTAAGCTGATATTTGTTCTTTTAAAACTTGTAACTTCATCTCATTAATGAGTGTACAATTCAATCCTGTTATTGTACTGATTAATATTTTTCCAATTCTAGTGTTGCACACCTTTTCTTGTGCTGTACTGGCTATTTATCATCTTCTTTTGTCTACTTTTTAATTGGGTTGTCTATTAATGAGCTCTAAGAGTTCTTTATATATTCTGGTCATACGTTAACATGCATTATAAATATGGTCTGTTTAAGGGCTACTTTTCATTTTCTTAA